GATGAAGCCATAGTCTCATCCTTTCTTCTTCCATGTGCTGTAAACTTTTAACAGTTCATAACATAGGCCCATAAATTTTCAAATTTTTCCAATAGATCTGGGGCTTAATTCATATCTTTGCAATAGGAATAGTGCACGAATCCTTCATATGTAAGAAGAATTCCAAACTGACTTCTTATAATAGTCAAGAAGAAAGAAAAAACAAAAACCAAGAGTCTACATGAAGGTTTATTTTAGTTGGAACTTTTAAATGGTGAGCACTTTTTTTTTTGTTTGCTGAGCATGGTGGTACAAGCCTATAATCCTAGCATGTGAGATACTGAGGCATGTGGGTCAGTGCAAATGTGAGGTCAGCTGGAGCTAACAGAACAGGAAAAAATGAAGAAGAAGAAGAAGAAGAAGAAGAAGAAGAAGAAGAAGAAGAAGAAGAAGAAGAAGAAGAAGAAGCAGAAAAGAAGACAAAACAAAGAAGAGGAAGAAGAATAAGAGAAGATAAGAAGGAGGAAGAGGAGGATGAGCAGGAAAGAAAGAAAGAAGTTCTTAGGACACAATTTCTTTGGGCAAGTTAACATAAATTTCCACATGAAAAAATTAAGTAAAAAAATATGTATCATGTGTTGGAATGTATGCTATAATAGCTTTGGTTACAGTTAAGAAATTTTCATGCAAATATTGTAAACTACATTACATTCAAACTGTTAAAGAGCTTCAAAACCTAGTTGCAATTAATCCAGCCATCCTTCTCCTAGGCATATATCCAAGGAAAATGAACTCAGAATATGAAGGCATACATGCATTCAAGCGTTTGTGGTAGCACCATTCACAATATCCAGGATATGAAATCAAATAAGATGCCCCTGAGCCATGAATGAACACGGTATTTAATAGGGAACCACATTGAAACTACTCATCCTCAAAAGACCAAATCTTATAATTTGCAGTAACATTCCCCTGAGGCTTAAAGAATCTAGATTTTAAAAAATGAAGTGAAATAATTTAGGTATAATAATACTGTCTTGTTTCACCCATGAAACTGCAACAGTTGAACTCAGATTGTTAGAGGACAGAGTAGTGGTCATAGAAGCTGGGCATAGGAGAATATGGAAGGATCGATTAACAAATGAAAACTCACATTCAGACAGGACTGGCTTTCTGTTAATCTGAAGAGTGATAACAACATAGTTTCTCAATATTAATAAATCTAAAACATTTTGGTTAAATGTTCTTTTAACCAAAGAAATAACAAATACAAAATATATAAAAGAAATAATAGATATTTGACATTATGGAGAACCTTCATATCCCAAATTAATAAATACATAAAGTATAAACACATCAAAATATCATAGTGTATTCCATAAATTATCCCTTAATTACGTGTCAATAACAAAACCCCAAAACAAACAAATTGGTCAATCATGAAATGATATTAGAAAAAAGGAAATATTAGTGGCTGTTAACATTTCATTCATCATTAAATAAGTGATAAAGGTTATTATATTAAATATTTAAAAACAAAATTTATAAAGATCAAGAATTTAAAAATGGCAATATCATCATTTGCATATAGTAAAGGGCTGTGACTATCCTCAAAGAATATTTTTTGCATTATTATTCCTGTGATATAAATGACTGAATATGACAGTAGTGCTAGAACTCTCTGGAAAAGCCATGAACTAGATTTTATTCCTACCATTTATGCTCCCTGCAGGCCACCTATGTAGGAGACAATAAATAGGAAACTGATTTGGTGGTAGGCTCATATTAACCTTGGTATTTGGTCCACTTCAAGAGGAATGAGAAACTGTTGATGTTCTAAATGCCCCATTTCACTGTTGGATAGTTGCTTTAGATATTTTATATAACTGAGTGTTGCATTTTTCTTTCTGGTTTTGTGTACCTGGATCAAATTCATCACCTCACATTTGCCAAGCAGGTGCTTACACCACTGACTAAATCAATGGCTCAGACAATGTTGCTACTTTAAATCAAAATATACTAAATAATTGTAATCTTATAAACTTATTGTATATTTAGGATTTCTATAATTTGTTCACCTCAAGCAATGTTACTTTTCAACAAAAGCTAGTGGAGGAATTGTTCCTGTGCTCTGGCTGCTCCACTGCCCTGTACCTTAACTAAGGTTTTCAGGGGAGATCTAAAGTCATAACTTAATATTAGAATACATCTAAATAACAAAAATGTTCACAATTCCCACATCCTGTGATGAACATAAAAACTTCACCTTTTGAAATGTTTCAAAATTCTGATACATTATTCTGATAAGTCAAACTAAGCAACTAATATCTGCAATCTATGAAATTATTCTTATTAAATATTTAATTATGTAATATCTGAACACTGACCAATCAAGTTTCATTTGCTGCTGAAATTACTGTGGCCCTGTCTGATTTCTATTTCAAACCCGTATTATAAATGTGCAATGTGCATAGGATGTATTTGCTTTTCAAATTCCATTTTTTTTATTCTCTGAGGGATTTTTTCCTATGTATCACGTAAAGACATAAAGATCTGTCTGTTTTGGGATTATAGCATGTCTCCAGTAGTTTCCAGCAATGTATGGATATACAAAACACTCTCACATTTGCACTGTCTGTGTCAAATGTTTATCCACATAAAGAGAATTAGGAAGGCATCACATTTGCTATTTTCTATGAGACAAGCATAGTGCTAAGCCTAATCCGCTCTGGTGCCGCTATATCCTCACCATTGTGCAGATTGATTTATGTAGATTTCCCAAACACATCAAAGGATTTCCTTTGTTTAGTTAATGTTGTCTGTCTACCATTTGGATGTGAAGTGCATGTTATGAATATTCAGGTCAGTGACAGAATTTCCATTAGATAAAAGGCATTCATTGACGTGGACAATGGTGAAGAGCAAAAATGCAATGCTGTGCATAGTGGCTTGGCCCTGGAAGCCCAGTGATGTCATCAACAGTTCATAGAACACGACCGAGGCCTTAGTGATAACTGACGTCAACACTGATGTCCAGTGGATCGCTGCTCACCACAATCTTTAGGTGAACAGTTAGCTTCTCGTGATATTTTTAGTTTTGGCTGTACAAATTTCATTCCCTGTCATCCTTGACTAACACTGTGAGAGCTGTATCAGAGAGAAATTTACCTGATTACAGCGATTCTCCCAAGAGTGGAATCATGAAACAGAAACAGAAGAGAAAACATTTAGAGGGCAGAATCTCACCTCAACCTGCAAAGATGTCCAGAGGTACATGTTAGTGGGCTCTCTAAGGAGGGAATGAGGAATTGTCTTTCCCGTGAGGGAGAAGAAAGGATTCATAGCTTGTGCTGTAGCCTGGAGGAGAGAGAAAAGCAACTGAATGAAGAGGAGAGTTTTGTTTCCCATATGTTGAAACAGTCTGAGTGTGAAGAGAAAGTTAGAGCATCCAGGTTTTAATTTTGTGGCCGAAGAGATGAGTCTGTCTACTTAGGATCACCCTGGGTTACACTGCCACATACTTGGTATAGACACTTTTTTCTTGTAAGAATTGATTTCCTGTCATTTGACTTTCTTTGGGGAATATTGTTAACAAATGTAAAAAAAGTTATGATTTCCAATAGTACTCTCTTCCTTTTGATGAAGAAGAAACTGGGGTTCATAGAAATGAAAGAAATATTTTTATAGGTTTCAATTCTGATTGCTGATGCCCTGACTATAAGGTGAATGATTTAATTACTTAGAAATAAAAGCTCATGTAATTTCAACCTGGACACATCCTGTGTGAAATGTAAGAAAAACGGGACACATATGCACACACATATACACATACAGAGATAAATTAGCCAAGAATAGTGAGTTAGCATGGTACAATTTGGCTCTTTACAGAAAAATTGGAAATTGAACAGTGTTTGCTGCCTTGGAGATTAACAGTAAACTAATCCTATGATGGAGAAATCGTTGTTCAATGGTTGGATGAGAAAGACTGCAAAATTTAAGAGATACTAATATTTTAATAATTTGGCACTTACCAAAATATTTAGAGCTTTGGTGTTTATTGATGAGCGTTTGTGCACAGTGTAAGGCTGCCTTCCTTTCACCTTCATTTACATTACTACATATTCAAAAATGTCACAAAGTGTAAACTATGAAATATGTAAATGTCATACCAGACAGACACATTTAAAGCAGACACACATGCACACTGACAGTACACATACAGACATACACACACACACACACACACACACACACACACACACACACCTGGGAAAGATCAATACCATCATCCACCATAGTTGTTCACCTACTGTATACTCAGTAAAATTATGTGCCTCTTACAAATACAAAGCAATTTGAATTCTTTAGACGAGATCAAGCTACTGCAAGTAGCCCATGCAGTGTCTCCTTCTTACCTACATAGGAACTCAGTGTATGTTCAAGGAGATAGAACAGTTGTCCTTTGTGAGTCAATTCATAGGCCAAGACTAAATCATGTTGTCACTCACATAGAGGTTTCCAAGAGACCTTGTTTTATCAACATCGCAGTCAATGGAAAGAGCAAATGCATGGAGAGGGGCAGGTGTGTACAGTTCAGCTGTGCGAATCTTATACTCATTTTCCTTGTAGGAAGTGTACCACATGAGCAGGGCTACCTACTAGGCAGCACAGTCAATGTATTATAACAACATCTGTGGAAAGGCAGAAGCAAGCAGTAGATGCATGAGGGATGCGTTATGCAAATGTGGTGATCTGCAGCATATTGACAAGATCACAGCGTTGTGCATCTAAAATCTTTTATTAAAATGAGCCATGTAATTTATCAAGAAGGGTGGGAGCAGTCACAGAACATGTCACAGAATTGACTCCAATATTTGCTGAAACCTAGATACATATAAACTCCAAAGCAGAAGCGTATCTCTTCATCATTATTTACTTTGTCAGGAGAAGTGAATGTGCGCCATGGTCTTCAGGGTGAAGATGAGGTATTGTCCAACACTGACCATCTCAAAGTTGAGAACATGGCTTACATTACCTTGGAGCACCTCTCCTCTGAAGACAAATCTCTTGATGCAGGTATGGAAGACCACTGAGCAGTGTCTGAGGGTGAGCTTGGTCTCGGCCTATCCCAGATTTGAGTGGAATGTTCCTGACCAGCATGTGATGCATGGTATTTATTCAGAAAGAAGTAGAAAATAGTCATGTGTGGACATACTGGATCCCTAGAGGAAATCACATAAGGCCAGAGTAAACGCAAGATTACTGCAAGACTGGGTTCTGTTTGGGAAATGTTTGGAAAGTGACCAAGTGCATAAGAAATGATCAGAGACACATAAAATCACTGTCTCAGAATGATCAGAAGGAGTGTGGTGGACTGGTATGAAAGTGTAAGCACCAAGACCATCACAGTTAAACCCTAGTTTAATTTAAACCAACATGTAATAATCTCATAAACAGGACACACACAATACACAAAACCCATCACTATGCAGCTTTGTGTGCCTCATATGAGTGCAAGACACTAATAGTAATAATTAGAGATTTCTAGTGAGAGTTTCTGAGGCTCTCAGTCAGTGAAGTAAAAGGAGATGAGCTTGGTTTCCACTGGAAACAGCCCAGTAGTGTAATAAAATCATTAATATTAATTTGTCTTAACATAGCAGTCTACTCAACTTTCATTTGAGATTGTGACTCTGTTGGAGGAGATACAGAGAAAGGTGAGGCAAATGCCAAGATGCTCTGAGCTCAGACAAGAGGCTGAGGTGAGCTGCCTGCCTGACCCCTTCTCACAAACCGGAAAGGACCTCAGGGCAAAGGGACTGGATGGAAGCCTCTGAGGAGGGCCAGATAGGAAACAAGGCTCCCAGCACAGGACAGAACTTCACAGCACACATTTCCATGTGAACAGTGAGACAGCAGTGGGTGAGGCCGAGCACCATGCTGAGCTGTGTAGGGGTGCGAGCAGCTCCTAACCTCACTGTAGCATAAAGTCACCCTCACAGCTCATGTCACATATGTCACAGCTCTATAGGTAACCAGGCTATGGGCCCATTGCTCCTTCTTTTGGCATTTTTCACAAACATTCTTCTCTCTCCCTGCTGCCCATCCCATTCCCTATTAATATTTCCTATGTGCACCCTTCACTCTCCTTCCTACACGCAGTGGTTCTCAGATTCAACTCTGTATGCACCATCCCATAGAGAGCTTCCCATCCTCTCTGAAGGATAAACTGTCTTAATTCCATTCTGTGTAACAGACCAAATAATAGAAAACGTAAGTGTCGCTTTCAATATGTATATTTTCTCACCAAAATATCTCTTCTTCCTTCCTGTCACTAGCTTCATGATAATGCATGATCTGGGGTCATAAGCATGTCCGCCTTCATGTAGGGCTGATGTCACATGATGTAACAGCATTCTCAACTCATGCTATGAGTCACATCACGTGCTCTGTAATACAACCTAACACCTTCCCACACACATACACACATGCCTGTCAGTGTATGCTTTTCACAGGACCAGAAACATTTGCCAGATATGTACCAGAAAATAGGTATTCAAACAGATCTCTTATGTGTATGACATATATTTGTAAAATTGTGTATATAGAGAGCATTTAGAATGTTACATATGTCCGTAGTTCTAAGAAGCTCCACAAACTCATTTTTCATGTTGTATAACACACATCACCCTCATAATTCTGAAATATCACAGATGCATGCTCTCCCATCTCACAGGCCCCAAAACAGGGATTTTCTGGAGGTCATCCCATCTCATGTTTCTTTAACATTTTCTTTTCTAGAAAGCGATGAATTTTCTCAGTATTTTCCTCGTTTTCCATCCCGCAAGAGGCCTCTGCGTCAGGATTTGGTGGAGTGTCAGAATTGCTCCTTCACTTCAGGTCCCCGTTCGTCTTCCACCTTCATCAATAACCCCTCAATGACCTCAGGGTGTGCTGAAGGGAAAAGAGTCATGAACGTTTACTACATGCGTGTCCTAACCAGGAGGGGCGTGGCGATCTTCGAGGATGCAGAAGGAGACCTGCAGCCTCCCCCAAAGAGGATAAGCATAGCCAAACTCAGCTTTCCTGAGGGGATTCCTCCAAAAGTCATCCTCCCCGAAGATACAGGGCCTCTCCTAGGTGACAGCAAGGCTCACGGGGACAGTGATTTGCTAGAGGAGTGGAAAGATGGTGATAGAGCATGGAAGCCCCTGGCACAGCAGATCTGTCCCAGGGCTAAAACCCCTCCATGGCTGCTGGACCTGGAGAGGGGCTTCAGGTGCATGGGCTGCTGCAGAGTCTTCCCCACACTGAAGGCCCTCACCAGACACGTGGCGCATGGCCTGGAGGAGGGCTTTTCATGCCTTGCTTTTCACCGGGCCTTTGCCAGGCTAAGGAGCAAGAGGAAGAAGGAAAGAAAGCGGGTCTTTAGGAAGCCAGGACTGCGTTACAGGATGGCTCTGGGGAGAAAGTTGTGCGGTTGTGCTGTGTTTGCATTTTGAACTTGTTTGTGAATTTTTGTTCTGCTTTCCAAATAAATAATTATTTTCATTTCATTGAATGGTTACGAGAGGCAACAAATGAGATTGGACTTCAGTCCCATAAACTTGTGCGCTTAAATCTCTTCTTCCCTTTGGTACCTGTGTTCTCTTTCTGCCTCAGGTCTCTTGTGGTGAGAATGTATGTTCTAACAGTCACATATGATAATGTTTCTGCAGCTCATAAGGCACAGTTTCCTCTCATCCTAGCATTGGGCTAGGCACAAATGAGGCCTGGCTGTCAAGGTGTGTCTCCCTCTGGCAGCCATAGGAAGTGTGATGCCTCTAACAGTTGTCACATAGAGTACGTCACCCTCAAATCCTGGGTGGCCCTGTTCTGTCCTCCTGTCCAGCTGCCTGCACAGGTTTGCAGCTGCAGCCCTGAGCAGTGCTGTATTCTTCCCCAGTACTCTGACCTGTTGTTTCTCATATTGAAGAGTGCTGGAGGACTGGACCAAGGTTGAGGGGGATGAGAGCACACTGATGATGTCTATGAGCTCCCAATTACCAATGGACTGTGATCACTTTTGCCCGAAAACCTGTGGAGGTTTCTGAAGACAGGGACAGTGATCATTTTAGCTTCCCCCATTTAGCAGAAATTTGGGACCTTGGAGCAAGCTGCTGCTTCTCCTGAAGGAAGGCTACACAACCTTGGCAATCTTAAGTTCCCTGAAGACCTTTCAGAAGGGTATCTGATTTGGCCAGAGCAGACTGCAAACACAGGTCTATCCAAGCTGACTCTGCCCTGGATCCACTTTAGATGAGCTTTAGAAAACCAGTGAATAGGAAAAATAATCTTGGCCAGGGAGTGCAGAAATAGCCCATTTCAAGTACATGCCACACATAGAGAGCCGATGACCCCGTCCCAGATGCATTTTGCCTGGTTTCCAAACTGGAGTCTGGAAAAAGAAAATCTAAATCTAAATATCTAACAATAGTGCTCTACTGGAAAGCAAGCTTACACTTTCAGTGTGGTTTTTCACTTTCCGTCCCGTGACATCGAAGAAGACACAACAAAAAATCTGAGAGAGATGCTGCTCAAACAATGCCAATCTGTCCTCACTCTGATCTGACTATATGTGTTCCCAGGTACACAGTCTGAAAACTAAGCTCAAGTTTGGTTGTAATTTTGGGTGGATCTTTGGTGGATGTGTATGGGATACAGGTCTGCTTTCTTGAGTGGGAACAGTGTCCTTATCTAAGAAGGCTGAGGGAGCTTGTTGACTTCTATCTCCTTCAGAACCCACATGGAGCAGAAGGCTCCTTCCCTGAGGAAGGGGCGTGCTAGACACTCACATGCTGGTTCCTTGCTCTTCCCATTGGAGTGTGAGCACTGCATTTCTGTTGTTGGCAAGTGACCTCCAGCATTTGGTCACAGAAGTCCAGGTGATCTGCCCGAGACATTTTCTCCACTTGGTTGTCCTGTTGCCCTCCTTTATTGCTGGTTTGTTTTCTGTAGTGTTATTACTGGGAACAGTTCTGTGTTCTTTGTGCTCTGTTCTCAGTGAAAATTTCTACTTGCGTAACTTGTCTACCATATATCATATTCCCCCAAGCTGTAAGTTCGCTCATAATAATTTTACCAATATAGAACCAGATTCCTACTGCAACTTCCAAATATCCACCTGTATGTCACAAGCACCTAAAGTTCTACATGTTCAGTCCCAAGATTTCTATCATCTAACACCTGATGTTCTCCTTTGTATTGCTTGTTTTTTGTAAAGTAAACGATTTTGCCCGGTTTCTGAAACTAGAATCATGGAAGTCAATGTGTTGTTGTCATTCTCATTTTGTTTCCACATATGAACTGTGTCTTAGATGCACGTATTCAGCTGAATTTTTTAATGCAATTTTGACACATAACACTGGCTCTTCAAAAGATAACCTCAGACATGAAAACTTTGGTTCCTTTTTGGAAAATAGTTGCAGTTATCAGTGGAATAAAATCAAAGTAAAATCATCATTTTTACACACCTAATATCTGTAGTATCTTCTTCCATCATTTAATAAAAAACAGCATACTTCTGATTTGAGTCTGAAAGAACTTGAGTGGTTCAGAAATATTTCTGTATGAATACAAAACATTGTATATATAATAACCATCATCATCTTAGTTGGCTAAGGTGTTTGGGAACATCTTTTTACTAGATAAACACTTTATATTTTCTCTACTGGTTGTTGAATAGTGTGAAGAGAATAAAATGTTTTGTATCATAGAAGGGGCTGGATTAGTGGTACTGACTATGTCTAGTGTGATGATCTCAAGTAGTAGGACCCAGAGAATGTGAAACAGGGCAGGAAACCCCATTCAGTGTGTGTTTTCCAATCCTTCTGGAGTGCCAAGTGCAATAGAGGTACAAGACTCCTGTGTAGCAAGAAACAGCACCCAGCTCCCAATGTATAGTCAAACAATGGCAGAGCCTTTCTCCAGGTTACATGCGGCACAGAGTCTGGCTGAGACTCGCAGTAAATGTTCTACCCTTTGCTCTCTGCCAAAGCCTGTCTTTCAGGTTCCCCTTCCTCCTACAGAGCTCAGTGGGCTGCGTGGAAAGTTCTACAATTCAAACAGGGCTCTGACTCTCACTGGTAATGGAAACCTTGGTTGAACTGTTATGACTCTACCAATATTTATCTTAGTAAATAAAAAACTATTAATATCGTGGTGACCAGTCTGAGAATTACAGGTTTTTTAGGAGGTTTTTGTTTTTTATTCCTAGAAATTAGGGCTGAAATGGAATTTAAAATTTCGCAACCCATGCTATAAATAGAATTTCAAATTAAATTGCAATTTTAAACATTTTCACAGACTAAACAAACTGACAAGAGATCTTTGAGACATTTCATTAAATAACAAAAGCTAAAGCTCCAATATTTCTGAGCATAGTGCTGCATGGCTGTCATCATAGCCCTTGTGAGGCTGAGGCAGAGGGATTGCCATTGGTTTTAGGTCGACCTTGCCTTCATATGAGTTCAAAGTCAGCCTAAAATACACAGGAAGACCCTGTCTCAAAAGCAAGCAACACAAAGAAAAAACGCTTCCATATAACAGAAAATTTTAAGGATTCTATAAAGAAATATGTTCCAAATAATTTCACATGAATTTAAGGTATATTTAGTATGGCACATAGGAAAAGAATTTTTAATGTAAATTAATATCTCTATTTCCTACAAGCAAAGATTAAACACTGTTCTATATCAAGCCAACTACATATTTGAAAACAGAAAATCTTCAGAACCAAGAACGGTTTGTTTGCTGAGCATGGTGGTGCAAGCCTGTCATCTAAGCCGTGGAAGGCTGATGCAGGAGGATCATTGCAAATTAAAGGTCAGCTAGTACTAAATAGAAAAAGAAGAAGGAGAAGGAGTAGGAGAAGGAGGGGAAGAAGAAGGATCCTAGGAAACACTTTCTTTTTGGCAAATTAATGTAAATTTCCACATGAAAATATTAAGTAGAAAATATGTATCAGCTTCCTGAATGTGTGCCATAATAAATTTCATAACAGTGAAGAACTTTTCATGCAAATATTGTAAACTATATTACACTCAAACTGTTAGAGAACTTTAAAACCTAGCAGCAATTAATGTAGCAATCCTCCTCTCAGTATATATCCAAGGAAAACACAATCAGTATTTCAAGGTTTACATGCATCTCAGAGTTTTTTGCAGCACCATTCACAATATCCAGGATGTGGAATCAACCAAGAAGACCCATGAGCCATGCATGACAACAGTTATTGCTACGGAAACACAATAGAACATTATTCGTTCACTAAAATCCAAATCTTATAATTTCCAGTAACATTCCCCAGAGGTATCAAGAACCTAGAGTTTGCAATGTAAAGTGAAATGATGTAGGTATAAAAATACTGTCTTGTTTCATCATGAAACTACAGAAATTGAGCTCATAGAGTTACAGGACAGAATAATCTTCAGAGAAGCTGGGCAGAGGACAATAGGGAATGATTAACAAATGAAAGAGTGTGTCCAGACAGGTCTGGTTCTTTGTTAATCTGAAGAGTGATAACAGCATCATTTCTGAATATTCAGAAATCTAGTAGAGAGAATTTGAAATGTTCTTTTAACCAATGAAATGATAATTACAAGATATTTAAATGAAATAAAAATAGTTGACATTATGTAGAAACTTCATATTACATGTTAATAAGTACATAAAGTATAAACACATCAAAATATCACACTGTATCCCATAAATTATCACTTAATTACATGTCAAAAACAAAACCCCTAATAAGAGGCAAATTAGTCACTATTGAAACGATATCAGAAAAAAGAAAATCTAGGTGATTCATAACATTTCATTTATCATTAAATATGTGTTAAAGGCTATAAATTAAGCATTTAAAAACAAAATTTATAAAGATTGAAAATGAAAAATTGAAAATATCATCATTTGCGTATAGCAAAGGCTGGGATTCTCCTCAAAGAATATGTTTTGCACTATTTTTCCTGTGACTTAAATGGCTGAATATGAGAGCAGGACTCTCGTATGCTGGAACTCTGTGGAAAAGCCATTAACCAGATTTTACTCTTACCTGTTTTGCTCCTTGCAGATCATTTATGTAGGAGACAATAAATAGGAAACTGATGTGGTGTAGACTCATACTAACATTGATGTTTGGTCCACTTACTGAGGAATGAGTAAGAATTGATGGTTTCAATGCTTTATTTCATGGTTTCATGGTTGTTTTAGGTATATGAAATAACTGAGTGTTGTGTTTTTTTCTTTTCTTTTTTGTACCTGAATCAAACTGCCCACCTCGTGATTGACAAACAGGTGCTTATGCCACTGAGCTAACTCCCTGGCCCAGAGATTTGCTTCTTTATTCTAAGACATATTAAATAATTGTACTCTTAGAAACTCATTGTATAATTAAGATTTCTATAATTTGTCCACCTTAAGCAATACTGCTTTTCAACAAATCTCACTGTAGGAAATGTTACAG